ACACACACACACTCACATACACACACACACACACGCACACACACTCACTCACTCACTCACACACACACACACACACACACACACTCTCACACACACACACACACACACGCACACTCTCTCTCACACACACACACACATATATATTGTGTGAATTTTCCCTAAATATTGTGTAAATTAAGTAACATATAAATGACATTTCTTGATATAATTTTAGTAAAAAAAAAAGAATAATAGTACTTTCTTTTAGTAATTCAGATCATTTTAGTGTATTTTCAGTCAATATTGTGTAAATTAAATATGAAATTACATTTTCTTTGTATTTATTCATTTATTTATTATTTTGTGTTTCATTCAGCAGTTCCCTTTCACTAGTTAATTTGTTTACTGCAGCTGTTTTCAGTGAGAGAGCTAAATTAAACATCATATCTGTGCGTAGCGTCTGTAAAGTATGTCTACACACACAAGGAGTTTGTCTTGGTGTGAGATACTCAGTTTTAACTTGTGTATTGAACTGTTGTATAAAAGAAACATCACAATCACAGTCATGTTGTTGTTCTGAGCATCAGTCATGTGATCACCAGCGAACCAATCAGTCATGATGTTGTTCTAATTTTATTATATGGCCTTATGAGGCTAAATCATTGGTTCTCAACCTTTTCGACTCAAATGCCTCCCATTGTCCAACACAATATTCAAAGATATAAGATAAAATATTTACTCTGGTATTTATGCTGTAATTATGACAAACCTGCTTCTTGTTTATTATTTAATACCTTATTAATTCATATATATATATATATATATATATCAATTAGTCACAATTCTTTTTGTGATTCCAGAAAATTCAATATGTTCCGAAAAAGGTGTAATTTCAGTTTAGATCTCATTAATACACTTAATATCAATAATATTAATAATAATTGTATTCATAAAAAATATTAGTAATTATGAAGTAATTCTAAAATTGTATATTACATTTATGTCATTTGTTTACTGCTGATTGTTTTTTTTAGCATTTTAATTTATTAATAATATTAAGTGTATTTATATATTTGTATATACACACACCTTTTTTAATATTAATAGAATTAATATAATATCAAATCTGACACAATTTAAATACTAAAAAAGTATACAATCAAGATTGTGTGTATAAATATATATACATGTAAATATATATATGCTTAAATATATTGAAATGCTAAAAAAAGATGCAATCAAGATTTTTATGTTTTGTTCATTTAATTTGTATAATTATATTTCATATTTATATAATTTCAGTTTACATCTGACATTTTTTAGCATTTAAATTATATCTTGAATGCATTAATATTAATAATATATTAATTATTCGTTTATTAATTATTCATATATTCAAATAATTTCCATTTGGACGTTTGCTGACATGCCCTGTTTGAGAACCACTGCTCTAAATATAGTGCGTGTAGATATTGTTATGATAGTTATATGCTGTTTTCAGTCAGAGGTGATTGTCACAGTTAGAGAGCAGACGCTCCGCAGCTCTTTGTCTCTCTGCTCATGTAATTAATTTCTTTTTAAATCGTTTATTTCTCACTTAATCACTTTTTGTGGTGCTCTGTGTTGCGGTTGCGTGCTCACTGAGAGATTGTGTGCATCTCTGTGAAGCCTCGTGTTTGCGTCTCTGCTTTAATTCGTTTTGGATTAATTCCGTCGTCTTCAGAGACGATCCCAATTCCCTATTATTTCCACTTCACAAATACAGTCTTATCCATCAGTCCCTTTGATTATTTCTTTGTTTTTGCTAAGACATCACACGAGGTTAGTGATCTAAACCAAACACTAAAAGTTGAGTGTAAGAGCAAAACAGCTGAAATAAATCCCACTCGATGCACATCGAAGGAAACCTGTCTAGAAAGCAGAAGAATCTTTTCATATCAGTCTAGGGTAAAAAAAAACACTTAGAAACCATTTCGAACACCTGGCAACCGCATAGCAACCCACTAACATTCCAAATAGCAACCAAATAAACAACGTCCAGACAAGACCCCAGCACGTGTTTCTGAGCGTGTTCCCTGGTGTCTTTATCTTGTTGTTTGTTTGACACTCAGATGGTGCTGAAGATGGATGACGTGATGAAACAGGAGTGATTCACTCGTTTAACACTCGTTCGCTCACTCTGTCATCTCATCTGACAGCTGTCAATGCATGCAGCAACAACAACAACAACTATCTCTGTCTTTCTCTGCTGCTTTATACTCCTGCTCTGCCTTTGAGTGTAGCTCAGAGTGTAGATCACACACACAATAGAATGAAATTAAATAACAGTGTAGACTGAACTAAGAAAGCTGCAGATAACACATTTAAACAAATGGGAATGAATGGCGGTGTGTCTCCATCTCCTGTGGCATTCTGGGAAACTCCCCGCCCCAGGCCTGACATTTCTGCCTGGCTTTGATAGCAGTCTTTGAACACGTGTGTGTGTGCGTGTGCGTGCATGTGTGTGTGTGTGTGTGTGTGTGTGCGTGCGTGGTATTTATCACGTTATGGGGACCAAATGTCCCCACAAGGATAGTAATACTAGTAAATTTTGACCTTGTGGGGACATTTTTGAGGTCCCCATGAGGAAACAAGCTTATAAATCATACAGAATTAGTTTTTTTGAGAAAGTAAAAATGCAGAACGTTTCCTGTGAGGGGTAGGTTTAGGGGTAGGGTTGGTGTAGGACAATAGCACATACAGTTTGTACAGTATAAAAACCATTACGCCTATGGAATGTCCCCATAAACTATGGAAACACAACATGTGTGTGTGTGAGTGTGTGTGTGTGTGTGTGTGTGTGTGT